TGGAACATTGATGAATTGACAGACCTATTGGTTATTTGATATAGGCAGTCAGCAAATCATCCATATTTTAATTATTTTGAACACAATAAAATAAACGAATGTTTTTGTTGTGTTCACATCGATCAACTGATGAGGTCAATAGATCAAATGGAATCCAATAACGCTGTAAACTTGTATAATGCCTCCATGTCTAAATTTGCATAGTTATTGGATGCAGATACCGGAAATTATTGTATTCTTAAACTCCATAAGGTCACAGTAGTAGATGATTTTTATGCATAACAGAAGCTATTTATTCATGTGTGGGTCATTTCCTTTTTCATGAGACATCCTCTCAGGAGAATTGTAGGGCTGAAATCATATAAATCAGCTGACTTTTTTACTTTAACATTCTTTTGTGAAAAAGTATGCCATTACTATAGATAACTTTTGTGAAGCCATTCTCACTCTGATAGTACAATACTGGCTGGTCAAAAGACTGCTATCAATTAACTAAATTCAAGAAATGGCAGTAACAGCAAATGCTGCATGGTCGATGGAAAGTTCCTCAAACAGAAAGATAAATCCATGATTAGTAATGCGTTTATTGTAATCAAACATTGTTCCCTAAACAAAGTGTACTGATAGGTGATTTGGTTGCTGCAAATAGCACGCTAAAATTCAAAGCTTTGTTGGTAGATGAACAAATATACTAAGAATACATTAAGATCCTGGGATCCATGTTTGGGTTGAATTAATCAGTGTTCTTTTCAAATGATCATTATTGATTTCTCTAGCAAGGTGACTGTACTAACTGAATTGCCGAAATCATCTATTTCAACTATTCCACTTTATCAGCTGACAGTTTTTTGTGAAAAAGCATGCCATCACTATAGATAACTTTTGTGAAAATGCACTTCGACCATTCTCACTCTGATAGTAGCCTTCTAACGGACTTACTCAGTCAACAGACTGCTATCAATTACCGGTAACTAAATTCAAGAAATGGCAGTACCGGTAACAGCAAAAATTTCTGTCATGGTCGATGGAAAGTTTCACGAACAGAAAGATAAATTCATGATTAGTACTTAAGAAGGACTACTTTTGTAGCTGAATTTTGTTTACTGTAAAATATTTTATTTTAGCTGGAATTAATTTTCGGTGAAAAGATTTTTTGGTGTTTTGTATGGAATTTATTTTCACTGATTTTTGAAATGTTGAATGTAAAATATAGGGAAAAAGGTATATTCACTGGATCATTCCTTTAGCGAAAATAGCGAAAATTAATTCAAAGTGAAAAGTATTTTACAGAATGTTTATATTATAATAATTTACCAGTTCAGTTCACCATACCCAATTGTCAACGAACATTTATATTTTAGTTCTAAAGATGAACAAGTGGCAAAGTTGGGGCATAATTGGGTTATAAAATAGAAACCCATAGTTGAAGTAAAAGCATGACATTTTTCATGCATACACATACATGTATGGTATATATGCTACTAGGTACCATCATGGGTGCCTTGGTAGGCACCAAGTCGATGCCAAGCTTGATTATACAGCAACATAGTTTATAAAATATCACTAGTGTGGTTGACTGGACGAAGCAGTTGTTAGCAAATCAGTCCAGCATACTGAAAGTTGTGGTTCCAATCCTGTACACACGTTACAATTTGTCACTTTAATGTTATGTTTAATGTCCAGTCATTCCATTTGACTCAGTTATTATTAAACAATATCACTTACTTCTACAAGTATTATTTTCTTGGTGGCACCACTGCTGTCTCCAAATATCTGTAAAGTCTGGTATTTATTTGCTCTTAGTAGGAAGTCATGGAACAGAGACTGTTGTGATTCACTGGTATAGCCTCCAATCGGTTTAACACCTGTAAAAAACAAAAGATTTGAATTATTGAAACCTATCCAAATAGTGGTCCACTGTTTTCAAGATACCATTTCAAGCTATTGTTCAGTCCTAGCAAAAAGTTAGATTTAACTAGCTTTTTGCAAGCTTAACCATTTCACCACCTGTCCCCTCTTTCTATCACAAATTATAGTCTGCACTTTCCTTCAGAAGATTGGCACAAAAAAAGCCACATTTTTTTTTATAAAAACTGAAAATATTTGTCTGTTGGCACCAAAATTAGGGTTCAGAAATATTTTTACAAGAAAGTCAGGTGGTAAAAACATTAATTTGAAAGCTCGCTTAGCTTGTTTTCAAAACCACCATCCACATTTCTTATCTACAACATACAGTGTAATTTGCCTACATGTAAAAAAGCCAGCATGGATGTTATTTATAAGTTGTGCTCAGACTGGTACTGTAAATGCCCACATACATACATAAATATGATCTTGTAAAAAAGCGGCATATGTAAGAAGCATTGCAACAGTTGAAATAAAGAAATGCTTAGCCAATCAAGTTGCACTTTCTATTTAGTATTGAAAATATAAAGTGAGTTTTTTCTCAATTGTTTCACGGATGAGTGACTTTGATATAAAGACATTTGGATTTATTGTATGAAATTATACATTCTGATTTCTATTTGTCAACCAATGTTTACTCTCTCATCCGAGTTACAAGTTTTCAAACGTTTGTATCAGGTGAGCATGTGACCTGCACCTGTAACCTGCAAAGATTGAATAAAATCACCCTGTTCATTTCCCGGACACATTTACTTATCAGAGTTCAGCAAATTTGAGGATCAAAATGATGTGCATACAAATAATGTAATACATCATACATTGTCTGTGTGTTAAGTTTGAATGTGATTGAGGAAACTGTTAGAAATGGCTCAGGATGAACGGATGAACAGGCCAATGAACAGATAGAACCCAAATTAATAATCTCCAATTTCAGACTTTGTTCGACTTAGACCCTAATTAAAACAGTTGTGAAAAACAAAATATCTTTACATAGAAATATTCCTTTATTTGCACCCTAAATAATGGGTTAAAAT